GCATGGTACAAATGCTTCAAAGATGGTCGAGAATCTGTTCAAAGTAATCCACTTTCTGGAAGGCCTGCAACAAGCAGAACACCTGAGAACGCTGAAGGTGTATGGGCTGCAATCAACAGATTGGCAACTGACAGTGTGAGAACTAGAAGGTGATCTGGTGATTCCAAAAACTACTATGTCTGAGACTTTGAAGCAGCATCTTCGTGTGAAACATGTCGCTGCAAAATTTGTTCCACGGCTTCTGCTACCAGAGCAGGAGGAACATTGCACTGCAGTTTCTAATGATGCTGGTAGAACTGTGTGCATTACCAAGGCACCTACTTTGAAGGGAACTGAATTGTCCTATTGCACATAGGACAGTGTTTCTTGTGTATCTTCTTCAATAAATGTCTTTATTTTTCATAGTGCATGGCTGGATACTTTCTGGACAGGCCTTGTGTACTGTTTTTTCCTATACATACAATAAAATGTAATTTATAAATTAGACACAGCAAGAGATTAACAACAATAACTAATAAAGCAGAACAAATATAAAAATATACCACAATAAGAATTCCATGAATGTGTTCTCTTTCAAAATATTTGGAATGTTCCATTAATATTTCAGATGGTGGTTGACCGTAGGTAACTAAAACTGTGGAAAGAGAAACCATGAATAAAGGGGCGGACTACTGTAATCTCCAAGTTTTATAACTGCAAAACTGCAGTTGTCATTTACTGACAAAGACTTGGAAGGGTCTGGAAGTGAAGGCCAGGCTTTTAGCTACTTGAGTCTAGAGCTAAAGAGACAGATCCAGACTGGAGATGAAATTTCAGAATCATAAGGATACAGAAGTATACAGAAGGTATTTAAAGCCATTTGTAAAGAACCCTAAAGCAACAAAGGGTCAACACCTAACACAGACTGAGCAGGCAGAGCAGAGGAGAGCAGAGGAAAAGAACACTGAAATGGAAAAGGATGGGTGATGATGGTTTGCTGCAAAAGGGGCTTCAGGGTCAAAGGTGTCAATCACAGCTCAGTGTAACAGGAAACTGGCTTTGGGGGCAGGGCTGTGACCAAAAAATGAGCAATTCTGCCTTCTTCTTGCCTGTCAACGGGCAGTGATGATCTCACCTTAATGTCGGTTCTTACACCTCAGCCTACTCTCCATACTCATTTAAGGAACACCTGCTTCATTATTTAATTCTAACTTAATTTTTCAACTGAACAGATAACAACTTAATAAAAGACTTAATGCACAAATAAATAATATTTTAAAAGTTTAGAAAGGAAATGTTTATCTGTTAAAGCAAGGTCTTGGAATGGGCTATCCTCAGTTATCAAAACAGGGCCTATGATACCTAGAGCTCCTGGGCATTTGTGTCTGTTCCTACTCTGTTCTTGGCCTCTCCCCCTTCTCACCCTGTACACACTCTCTTGGGGAGCTCAGCACTCTACACAGCCACCACCCATGCACTGAAGATGCTGATCTCCTTATTTTCCGCTGCTCAGTACCAAGCCAGTGAAAGAAGTACTTCACTGGGCATCTCCCATCATTCAAAGGCATCTCGAAAGCCACATGTCCCAAACTATTATTTTCTTTTCAAACCCTCGTTTCCTTATCCAAAATTACATGTCTGGCAAGATGCAATTTGTCATTTATGAAGCCTGAAACCTAGGAGTGACCCTACACTCCTTCATCAACCTCTTTCTCAACCCAATATCCAGTTAGTATTGTTAATTCTACAACTTAAATACTACTCTCTCTCTTCTACCATGTCTGTTACTCCTTCATACTTTTACCATTACACACGAGATTGAAGATTTAGCAATTATGTGTTTCCACGTCTGTGTTCCCTACTAGCCTGTGAATTCCCTAAAGAAGGATGCTGCATCTTCCTGTGAGGTGCCTGGCTAATTCTAGATTTCAGCAGAGGGAGACTAATTGGTCAGAGCACAGCTAAAGACATCTGTGACTGCAGCAAGCAGCACCAAGAAGAATTTCTTCTACGTAACAGTAACAAGCATTGCAAAGTCGCTGTTGGGTGGCGCCTCCTAGACTTGTGCGCATACACCCTGCGCAGCCGCAAGCAGAGGTCTTCATTAAATACGTCTGAATTCACGAAGGGAGTGTCTGCCATGCAACCCACACCGTGATAGGCACTGGTGAGGAATAAAGAAATACTGGACACAGCCTTCCTTCCTCCGGAGCCTTCCATCCAGCTGGAGAGAAGAGGTGGGTGCACAAGGCCTGGCAGTACAGAATTAACTGATTAACACAGTGTTCACTGAGATGAGTAATGAAAGACTTCATGCAGGAGGCAAACTAGGAAGGGCCTCGGAAATGAGTAAAATCCAGGAGAACAGGGGACTGTCAAAAGAACATGTATGTTCTAGAATGTGTAAAATGAGCACACACATTCTAGAATGTGTTTACAGGACCAGCAAGAGGGTGCAGGTGAGGCTCGGTGTTGTGGGATAGTGGGAAATAAGGCGAGCCAGGTGAAAGACTGAAAAGTTTGGCAGAGAATGAATGTGCAAAGTCTGCAAGAGTCATTAATTTGAGCAAATTATAATTAAAATTTGATCCTATACTCTACTTAAATTGCTATTTCTTTTGGCTCGGCTGCATTGCCTTCGGTCTTCTTACACAGGAAGCACAATGACAGGGATCCAGCTGTCTGCAAAAGTAAAGGAAGGGAGAGGGCGTGCCTGGTGTCAATCACCCCAGGGAAACGCACCAGCTGATTAAGGAGGGGCATTATTTCACTTTAAAAGGAGCCTCTTGTTTTCTCCTATGGCCTAAGTCTCATCACTTTAATAGCAGAGGCAACATGGTAAAGAACTGAGAGGTGTGCAAATGAGAGCCGGATCTCCATAGCAGAATATCAATTATAGACTCTACACATGTGTGTTTAAATAGAGAAAAAGCACTTAGAGCCTGCTCCAAAGAAACATCTTTGTGCGTGAGTGTAATGAAAACAGAAGCTATCAGTTAAAGAAAGGACAGGAAAGGAAATGAAAAAGAGGCGTGAGGTTTGTCAGCCTTTTCCCTGAGCACCATCTCCAATTCGCAGTGAGTGCAATGTAACTCCCCAACATGACAGAAAACTCATCACGAAACTCGAGCCAGTGGCAAAACAAAATGAGCAATTTCATAAAACAACAACGGACATGAGGTCTGCAACAGAACTACAAAAGCAAGAAAAGTTTAACTGTTAAACCCCCAACAGTTATGTTCTGCCTGGTTTAAAAAGAACAAAATTTAGAAGCCATATAGTTTTAACTTTAATCCTCAGATGTAAATGTTTTCCTTTATAAGCTTACTCAGAAACTGAGCATACTAGACTCTAGGAGATTTTTTTTCTGTAATTTGTTGTGCATTATCAGCTATTTACATAATTACTCTAATTAAGCTAGTTTCAGCAGTTCCTGTAAATAGGTGAAAGATCACTAAAACATGTAATTATGTCCTTATATCATTAATTAAACTATATCATCTGGGGATTACTGTAAATATGTCTGGAGGTGTCAGTCCGTGTAATGGAGACACAGAATTCTTTATTGAACTACAATAAAGTGCTCGGCACTAATAATGCAGTTAGAGCACCATTTCTGATTTTTAAAGTGCCAGATCTCAGACATAAAGGGATGATGTATCTTTCATACACATATGATTTGAAAAGCCAATAGAGGTTTTAGACTTCCTTTATCAACAACTTGGGTGGAAGGCAAATTGACAAGTGGGCCCAGTTCCCTAGCGGTCATTCCTGGAATTGCAGGGGCAGTGGGCAGGGCCAAGGCCCATCCAGCAAGACATGTCTGCCCTTCAAACTGGACCAGACCCCAACTGTTCCCTCCTCGATTCTTCTGTACCTACAAACCATCCTCTTTTCTCAGCATTTATGAGTACACAGCTAGGAAAGGTATTAGATTAAGAAGAGTAGGACTGTCAGGTAAGACTGCATTTAAAGGACACACATATCAGAGGAGTGAAAATCTCAAAGAAATACATTTCTAGAGAGAATTTCAGACATTGTGAACATGATTTGTGAGCCTGAGAATTTAGCCTTTTGTCCCTTCAAACCTGCCTCCCCCTGAGGAAGGTCCCCGGTAGTCAACACTTGGAGGTGCTTCAAGCTTTGTATCAATACCAGGAAACAGGACACTGATTCAGTCAAGAACTGTCACAGAGAGCTCTGCCAGGGGATTGCAAATGGTGGCCAGCAGCCCTTGTTGATTCAAAGGATGCTTGAAGGTAGCTAGGGCTAAAAAGATGAGGGGATCCCCAGAGCTTCAGAAAGACACACAGGAAACCCCCTCCCTCAGAATATAACAAACAGAGAAAGCTTTCAGTTCTTCAAGTGCAAAAAATAAAAGCTTATGACCATAGTTCTGATTCACTTTAGCTTAATGTTTATTTCTGGGGAGAGGAAGATGTTAACTTTGTTCTTATACCAAAATCTTACACAAGTGTTCATCTTTTTTTGGAAATCAATATCTATATTTTACAAGTTTTAATTCTTATTTGACTTTGAGTGATGAACACAAAACGCAATAGACAGATGACACATTATAAAACTGTCTGCTTGGAACCTATATAATTTTATTAACCAGTGTCACCCAAATAAGTTTAATAGACATTTTTAATTAAGAAATTAAAAGTTCTAATTCTTTGGAGTGAACATTTCTAAGTGTTGGAAGGAAGCACATGCTTTTATTTTAACGATTATAAAACATACTACTTGCATTTGTCTCCAATTTTTGTGTGTAGTGGATAACATACCTGACCGTGGTTTCATCAAATTCACACTTATGAGCTAAAAAGTTATTTTAAAACTATATTTAAATTAGGATTTCTGTCTTCTATCAACTTCATTCCCTGGGGGAGAATCAAACTCGTTCTACAGTATGACAACATACCTCACTGTCGGAAGGCACCAACCACTTCATGACTCTAATGACCACTGTAAAAATTCTCCCCTCAAAAATAAAATTAAATATATTCATTAGAACTTACATGCAATTTGAAGTGTCCCCTGAAGTCTACTCCCAGACCCACGTTGAGGATTCCTGAAATACACTTTGGATTTGTATTATTTATTGGATTGCGAGTGTTCTCTGTTAGGAGCTCTGGAGCAAAGTGAGAAATCAACAAAAAACCTGCAATGAAAGAAAACCATGGCTGATAATAATGTGTAATACAGAACACTGTCAACATGACAACATAAACACTAGTTTAGAAATCAGACCAACTTCTAGTACACGAATACTACAACTACTGCCGCTCCCACACCCCCATCCTCTCTGCCTTTGATGAATTTTCCTATAGACTCAGAATATTTTTCATGTATAAACTATTTATCCTGAGGCAAGATTGTCTTCCGATCCTACAGGGTTGCCATATCCGGCCCCCCAAAGGTGAGGCAGCCTCAGCAGATCTCTGAGTAAGATCCAGATGGTACGCTTTTGTCTTCACCTCAGGATTCACGCACCTTCAGAGCCATCTGGTCTCGAGGTGAGGCATGGCTCTGAAGGTAAGATCCTTTCCAAATAAACTCCAGTAAAACCTGGGGGTGGGGGAGCTCTGAAGAGGAAACAAAACTAGAGAGTACTTATAGTTTTCATCATCCCTAAAGTCGTAACTTGCTAAATATTGCAGCTCAGCAGCAGAGGTACCACGCCAGTTTCAGAGAAGGGATCTGCGTCTCCTGAAAATACCTGCAGCTTCTCCCTGACTTGGCAAACCATGATCTCCAGCCCTCAGTTAAGCAGTGTGATGCTGCCTTCAAAATCAAGGTTCTCTCAGATCTCTAATGAGAAGAAAAACCATTTTTCATATTGGCCTGAAGTTTCATTCCTCTGGGCAAATAATTGTAGGGGCTAATCTCTTGGCCAGCCAAAGTCAATAACAGAGTTCAGGATCACACGCCGGCCATAGAGTTCATTTCAGGATATTGGACAACAAGTGAAGTCCCTGAAGCCATTAGTGAATTAACTCACCTCACTTAAGTAGGTAGTTAAGTAGGTAGTTCAAGTGGCATCGGTATGCCTGTTTATTCATGTTAAAGAAAACAAGGATCTAAGATGTAATTTTATACACTTCAGTGATATCCAAACAAGAGTATTTTTGAAGAAAATAAAAAAGCATTTTAACATAAATGTTGAATATAATGTATACATGTTGAATATAATGCATACATGATATGGGTACTGTATTTATTACAGGCATAAATTAAGACCAAGGCAAAACTGGAAAGGCCGGGTTAATTCCAGCTTACTTCCCAAGTCCACCAAATGGGATATCCTCATTAACATTGGTCTCCTACCAACTGAGGTTTTTCACTCCAGTGTCTAATCTGGGCTGATTCTCAACCAAACCTTAACTCAAAAAATGAATGCGCAGAGATGTAATAGTTATCAGTGGATGGATGTGGTTGTTTACTTCAAAGCAATCGTTTGAACAGAAGTCTGGTATCACCCTAAGGTTACTGTCAGGTGGACAGAGAAAGTACCCTTGGACAGGCCAGCCTACTGAAAACACAGTAGCCCGGGTTATGCAGGAAAACCCTCACCAACACTCTCTCTGGTTGTTTTGTAGTTATGATAACCTAAGTCCTCTCCCACAGAACTTTATGCACCTCGCACGGTAAATGCTACACTCTGGTCTCCCTTCCCTGAGCTCCTTCGGACCAGGGAATTGTCGCATTCGGTATTCACCACTGTTGTCAGTGCTGCAGGATTGGCTGACAGCTGCGCTGACCTTCAGCTGCATCACTCCAGTGCGGATCCTGCGCTCCCGCTGACCCTGAGAAAAGGGCTCAAGGCCTGGCAGCTGTGCTGCCCCTCCCTGACTGGGGACCATGCTGGTGGGGGGAGGAGGGGCCTGGCCTGCCCAGAAGCCTGGAGATGAGGCCAGTGGGGAGGGCCACAGAGGGTCCCTCTTCCCAGGAGGAAGCTGATGGGATGTCCCAGTTTGTTAAGGCGTTTGCAGATTAAACCTTGAGTGAGTGTTTGCTTGCTTCCGAAAAAGTAGTAAGATGTTCTACTGATGTGAATTTGGCCAACACAACACCATAATAACTGTGAATCTTGAAAATTATTTTTTAAGTCCCAGAAAAAAAAAGAAAGTCAAATATAATTCTTTCCAACTATAACCAAGCAACATAAAATTTGTAAACCACATCGCTACAGCTGCCTTACATCCCTTTTGGTACAAAAGGGGGATCAAGCAGGTATCTAGACACATAACTACAATTGAGCCTTTGCCTGCTTCATGTTTGGACTTCAGCATAGCTCACCTCTAATGATTTGAGTATTTCCTGTTGACTCCCTTTCTTTTCTCAACATCAAGTTGCATGGTCCATAAAAGAAAAGCTTTTTGATTTACATAAAACCTGTTCACAGTATTACTAAAGTCCATTTGTTTTTATTAATGAGTGTATGCCTAATTACTGCCAACTAATTACTATGGTTCCAGGCATGACACACAGCCAGAAATGACAATAATTGCTGACCTCAGAAGGTTACATACTCCTTCTTTGGGAATTTATCTGGACTAAATCACACTCAAAATCCCTGTGGAATTATGGTTTATTCTATTTGTTACAATCTATTCATTTATACCCACATAGAGGCCTGGAATTCCATTACCTTTCTCAGAATGAGTTACATTCTCAGTTTGTTCATTGTTTCCAAAAATCATAATTAGATTATTTTATTTCATTATTGCAAAGAAATTTAGGAACTTTACCTCTTTTTTGAAGTAGAGGGGTGTAAATTTTCAAGGAAAGCCCACAGGCTCTGGGCTCAGAAAGGCTTAGGTTCAAATTCTGACTCTGAACTTGAAAGGTCATGTCTCTTTGCACATGCACCAAAACTTTCAACCGTCTGTTTCCTTCACAGTCAAATGGAGATCACATCACTTATCTGGCAAGGATAAGAATTAGAGTTAACCTGCAAAGTGCCTGCCATATAGAAACTGCTTAATAAATGGTAGCTATTAGTCTAGTGTTTCAATTTGATAGTTGTGAACTATATTTGTGTTTTCATAGTAGATTATCCACAGTTCAGAAACACGTTGACCCATATTGCCCCTTGATCCTGACTTTGATTCTATAGGATTGTGCATAGAATAGGAACCACCTCAATGATGTAGATGAGTTACAGGCTTAAATATTATGCATTTTGCTTCACGTCACACAGTTGCTTGGGGACAGCTGCGACCACTCAGTGACTCGGACCCGATCCCAGGCGTCTTTCTGCCCTCATCGCACCCTGCCTCCTCTCACCACCTAGTCGGCCTTTCCTTCGTGCGAGGTGACATGCAAACTATTCAAGGAGAATTCTAGTGTTAGATCATCGAAATGAAACCTGCTGGGGAAAGTTTAGTATTCAAGAATTCTGTAAATCTACTTCCGCCAAGATGGAGGCATAGGTGGAGACGCCGTGCTTCCTCACACAACCAAGTTTAGAGACAACTGAATAATAGCAACAGAAAACACAGCCAGAACACAGAAAATTGAACTTTTCGGAAGTCTGATAACAACATATTCTTCAGCCTGACCGGTAAGGGGCGAAACCAGCAGCTGGTGGAGCGGAGTAGCACAGGAAAACTCGGTCAGACGGACTCAGGTGAGCGGAATCCAGGCACAGGGTTGGACCTGGCGGGCAACTCAGCAAGCAATCGCGGGGAAACAGCGAGGGAGCAGGGCGCATTCGCGTGTGGATAGACAAGCGAGGGAGTGGGGATTGGATGGGACCCAGCAGGCCCAGCGGCAAGCGGCAGTGGAGCGCGCCGCCATTTTCCCCGCTCTAACCCCGCCTCCACATACAGCGTCATAATCCGGCGACCTAAGTGGCCCTGCCCCGGTGAACAACCTAAGGCTCTGCTCTTCACCCAGCTGCGAGAAACTGCAGAGGGGGCTGCCATTTCCCCGCTCTGACCTCGCCTCCACATACAGAGTGACAACCCAGCGACCTGGGAGTCCAAGGCTCCGCTCCTCATACTTAACTGGTGCAAACAGACCAAAAATGGCTCAAGAAGATCTCAAAGCCCCAGAGCCTATAAATCTAAGCGATGAAGAAATAGCAAAACTCTCAGACACACAGTTTAAAACATTGGTGATCAGGGTCCTCACAGAACTGGTTGATTATAGCCACAAATTAGACAAACATATGAAGGCGAAACTAATTGAAATGAATGGAATTGCACAGGAAACTAATAGCGATGAAAAGGAAACTGGGACTCAAATCAATGGAGTGGACCAGAAGAAAGCAAATAATGGCCAAACAGAAAAGAGTGAAGAAGTAAGAATTCAAAAAAATGAGGAGAGTCTTAGGAACCTCCAGGACATCTTTAAACGCTCCAACATCCGAATTATAGGGGTACCAGAAGGGGGAAAGAAACAGCCACCAGTGGAAAACTTATTTGAACAAATAATAAAGGAGAATTTCCCCAATCTGGCAAAGGAAATAGACTTCCAGGAAATCCAGGAAGCTCAGAGAGTCCCAAAGAAGTTGGACCCAAGAAGAAACACACCAAGGCACATCATCATTACATTAGCCAAGATTCAAATGAAGGAGAGAATCCTAGAAGCAGCAAGAGATAAGGGGACAGTCATCTACAAAGGAGTCCCCATCAGACTGTCAGCGGATTTCTCAAAAGAGACCTTACAGGCAAGAAGGGGCTGGAAAGAGGTATTCCAAGTCATGAAATCCAAAGACCTACAACCAAGATTGCTCTATCCAGCAAAACTTTCATTTAGAATGGAAGGACAGATAAAGTGCTTCTCAGATAAGATCAAATTCAAGGAGTTCATCATCACCAAGCCCTTATTATATGAAATGTTAAAGGGACTTATCTAAGAAAAAGAAGTTAAAAAACCATGAACAGTGAAAGGACAACAAACTCATAGTTATTAACAACCACACCTAAAACAAAAGCAAACTAAAAGGACAGCTAGATCAGGAGCTGAACCATAGAAATGAAGATCACATGGAGGGTTAGTAACAGGGGAATGGGAGGAGGAGAAGGGGGGAGAAAGTACAGAAAATAAGTAGCATAGACAGTACATAGAAAATAGATGGGGGAGCAAGAATAGTATGGGAAATGTAGAATCTAAAGAATTTGAGACACATGGTCATAAACTAAAGGGGGGGTAATGATGGGGATGGAGGGTTAGGGCGGAGGAGAATGAAGGGGGGGAATAGAACAACTGTAACAGCATAATCAATAAAAAATAAATTAAAAAAAAGAATTCCATAAATCTTGTTCTTAAGGAAATGATGAAGGTATCAAGAGCTGGAAGAGAGCTGATTAATAAGCATCTGATCTCAAGCAAGCCCATGTTCCACAGCCACACTGTCTAATATAGTGGCCACGAGGTACACATAGCCACTGAGCAAGGAAACCGAGGCTTCTGTGACTGAGGACCTGAATTTTGCATTTTATTTATTTTTGATTAACCGAATAATGCACTTAAAGCCTGATACTTGCTTCAGTTACTGGAAACCTGTTCAATATGTTTTGAAATAACTTGAGTATGTAAATCTACTTTTTCTGTTGTATATTTTATAAGTTCTCATAACAGATCAAGTATTTCTGATGAAAATTTAACATTTGAGTTGATATGTTATGTAAATATAATATAGACACTAGATCTCAAAAACTTACGAGCAGAAAAAAGAATGTCAAATATGTTCTTCATAATTTTAAATATTGATTTGCATTGAAATGATATTTGGGATATAGCAGGTGAAATCAAATGAAATTGCAAAATTATTACAGTTAAGGTTGTCAGTTTC